CTTAGTGTTTTAAATAATGACTTTGGAATAGAAAGTGCTTTAAGATGATAGTGTAAAACAATTTAAAAACTCTAGGCCTTGTAGACTGTAGTGACTAAAGAAGAGAAGGAATATAACTATACACAGTGCAAGTTTATGTACTTGTACAAAACTAAGGACTTCAATAATAGGTATCTGAAAACAATGCCTGAGCATTCATATGTAATGAAAGGACAACAGTAAACATCGTAAGTAAATATAGCTGTGGAAAAGATAAAAGCAAGAAGTATTTCCAAGAAAAAACAGGAGGGTGTAAGAATACTGCATACAAATCTCACCTACTTTTCAAGAAAGATGCATTCAACCTGGAAGAGGAACTGAGAATGGAGAGCCTATAATGCAGAAGGAAACAAGGACATTTCTAAATCCTTTCTAGCTCTGAGAAAATTATATAGCTCACATGCAACAAAGCAGTACAGTATAGAGGTACTAATTTCAGCAATACGGTGGCCATATTTATACATCCAGATCAAGATTTAATTTTCCCCATACAATAGAAAAATCAAGATACTTGAACTAGGAGGATCATTGACCCATATTTTTTTTCCCTCCCTTTCAACAGGAATCAAACCACCAGAAATACATTTAAGTTTTGATGTCTCTGATGCTTGTAAATTCTTTTCTTTCTTGTTCTTACACTTCCTATGGAAAACAGTCCATATAACTTAGGTTTGCTGGCTACACAAAAACAAATCTCATCCTAAATGTGCAGTTTGATTCAGTGTGCCTTAACCTTTCCATGCTTATTCATCTGTGACAATGTATTCTTTAAAGACTTCTTGTGATGTTTTATGTATTTCAGGAATATAAATTTAAACAACAACAAAAACCAAACCAAACCACACCAAACCACACCGTTCAAGGCCTAGAACTATTTTTATAAATAGTTGCGCGATAGCATTCACAAAACTCAAGGTTTAATCAATGATAATTATTTACTTTACAATCAGCATTTGATCCAGAACAGTAAAAGCTGAAATCTTATTTTACCTAAGGTATCTCCCTTTATTTTCATTTACATTTAATTATGTAGCCTAGTACCCTGTTCGCTTTCATGTTTCATCTTCTTGCTAGCATTTATTATCACTACTAGATCACTTCCTTAATTTTTATTCTATTTCTGCTCCATCAAGCATATATTTTTATAATTTATTTGTTCAGCTCAAGTGCTTGGGTTTATGTTTTGAGATACTGAATTCCATTTAGGACCCATTTTCTCACTTCCTCAATCAATTGATAATAGTCTGAAATTTATTGACTTCTTCAGCTGTATCAATAGCATTTTCTATTTAGTAGTGTCAGCAAATTGTAAATACCCAGCAAAATTTTGCTCTCCCTACAGGAACATACACACTAATTTAGTCCCAGTACTGAACTGAGACTGAATGACCTCAATGAGCTAGCTCTACTTTGGCTTGAGATAGTAAACCAAAGTCTTAAAACCTTGATAACTGTTTCTCTTCACCTTTATGATAAAATTCAGGAAAATCAACATACCTACGCTCAAGTTTATATAAAATCTCTTAGGAAACTTCATTTTGTACCATAAATTCTATGCCCTGTATATCAGTGTCAAGCAATTCCATTTTATAATACACTCCAATGTTTTCCCTTGCATTTATGGTTAAAAAAAAAAAAAATAGTGGCCATAAACAAGGCAAAAAAAAGGAAGGAAAGTAAGATTAAAATGTTTTACTTGTCTCAGCAAAACACAACCAAGAGACAGGCTGCTCCTTCTCCAACTCCAACTGTAAGCAGGTAGGGTCTTTCATCCCCACTTAGAAAAAAAAAAGGTTCTAAAAGGACATATTCACCCTGCCTTGTACACAAACTATTTCTTCTTTGAGACCTCTTTACATAAAATTATTCTTGGAATGCAAGTTTTGGCTTCTGAAGTCTTGATCCAGTAATTTGAATCTGTGGATGATTTTCTGAGAAACTTATTTGACAATAACATTATTTTGAACATAGTTCAGTTAATAATACCAGTGTGTATCGATTTCACAATCATTTTGCTTATTTGCCTTCTGCATATACAGCTAAAATTCAAGAAAAGTGCGTATCAACCACAAATGGCAATGACATTTAATAGCTGTGCTCATTTCAAAGCTGCAAAATCGATTGTCTTCAGTGATCTCCTCCTTCTTCATCTCTTTGTCACTTCTGGCATTCAAGAGTAATGGAAAATGGACCACTGATAGCAGAGCTCAGTCTAGGGCAAGCTAGCATCCAAAAAAATGCTGATGCTGTTGTCCTAACTACTTGAGTTAAGGCTAGGTTTTCCTATCTCTATTTATCTTGAATGCTTTTCGAAGGCGTAGTCAAATCTCCTTTCACAAATACAGCATTTCAACTCCAGTTTTTCATTGGAGCCTATTACCTGTGATGCTGTAACTTACCAACATAGTGTTAATTCAGTGCCATGACTTTTAAGAGATATATTTTATTGTCATCAAGGAGACCAAAATGCTAAAAATAAAACAAAAACAAAGGATGCAGAGGGCCAAAGGCTAATGTGATTTTTCAGATTTTTTTTTAAGAGATTTATTTTTTATCATAGTCATAAGGAGAGTATAATTGTCGTATTAATCCTTGTTCTGGCAGAAGGTACATCTCTTTCCATTTCCAAAGGTGACAGAAAACTTGCCCTCTATCTAGACAGAATAGTTTCATGAATAATTGGTTTGCACATTCAATCTGATAGTGGAAGATGAATATGAATATCCTGCTTATCTTAAATGTAAAATGAAAAAACTAAATCTGCTTCCAGGTTAAGCATTTTTTTTAATAGTTCCATTGTCTCACATTCCTTCTGGTAAAACTTCATCATTTATTCAGTAACTCAGGCGTCTCCAATGCATTAATTGTGTAGACTGTAACCTAACAGACAGCCCTTGTTTTGTGAGTATAATATTTCTGGCACATACTGTAATTATCTAGCTTCTAAATAAGAAAGAAGGAAGACCTGAAAGCAGAATCAATTGATTAATGTAAAAAATAAGCACTACATTTGAATGAATGTCTTTTATCAGCACTACCACATGCTATGTAAGGAGTTGTACTGTCACCACATTTAAAAGTTTTATAAAATATTTTAAATAAAATTTTAAAATACATATGCAAAATGTTAACAGTTTCAAAGCACATCATCAATAGTAATTAATTCACAATCCAAAGACACAGATAAGCAACTTACTGCTTATCTTCTGGTTGTTCAGTCTTTAGTGTACACCTAACATGGACTGGTATCATTCTTAGCTGACAACTAGCAAACAAACTATGCGTCAGTTTCACAATGTGGAAGACACTGAGAGAGCGTTTTCTCAGAGATTAACAGACTATGTCTTTTCCTAAAGTAAATTAGGGAAAGTAGGGCTTTTGTTTGTCTTAAACAAATTAGGGTTCTTACATCATGCTAACAGAGAACACAGAGAGAAAAAATCGAGGAGGCAAGGCAACGAAGTTAAGCTGATTTAATCAAGATCAGAAGCTGATCTTAGACCTTGAAATGAACTACTCTCCATGAAAATGGTCTGCAAACTAGCACTGTACTACAGGACAGTGAATATTTCACTTCTTAAAGTGCAGTTCAAATTTTCCCTTTGTTTGAACACTTGTATGTATTATGAACGCAGGAGAAATATTCCTGAAAGAAGAGGCACTTACTCTTTCATAACAAACACACACAGCTCATACTGTTTCCATATTGATGGTAAGATATTTAAATTTTCCACAGGAATAGCAAAATTATCTTTCGTCCCAGTCTTATGCTACTATTCTAATGCCATATGGTGATTAAGCTATTTCTCTCATATGAAGCTGTACCTTTTACTGTTAATAAAGTAATTTTCTTGAGTAGAAAACAAATTCTGTCTGCAGTAGGACAGCTAAAGAGGTGCATAATCTATATAATAGGGTTAAATAATTTGTTGTCTGTAGCATACAAAAGAAAAAATGGTTGCTACCTCCTCTTTCAACAAAGTCCTGCTTTGATGCATCTATTTAGTGAGAAGCTTTTCCTCCTTTTTTTCTGTCTGTTTCTATGTCCCAGAATATTCACATTGTTTGCTGAAACTGTATTAAGGGTAAGCAACTTCAGCTTTCTCATTACACTTTTCTTATGACAGCCGTGGAAAGACTCAGCATAATCTCATCACCTTGTATTCATCAGACTACTAAGAGCTCTGGCATAGATTTTTCTTGGCATATTGAGTATTAATTTAAACCACTGCAGTCACTGATGTACAAAATTTAGGTGTGTCCTTTTAGCAGGGCTAATGCTCTTTTGAATACAAAAATCACTATATTAAAACTATTGTAGAAAAGTTGGAGAATTCCTGGCTGAGACTATTGGGAAACAGTCAATAAGTGCTGAAAAATAATAGAAGTAGTAGGGAGAGAACAGCAACAGCAAAAGAGTCTGTGGAGGGGTACAAATCGATGGTTGCACAGGAATGGCTACACAGGGTCAGGCAGAGGACCCATCCAATCCAACATTCTGTCTCTGCCAGCAGCTACACGTAGATACCTAGGGAAAGTAAGAACGGTAACATATGGTACTTCCTAAGTATCAACATTCAAATTCACATGTTTAAATAAGGAAAATGATGACTAATGAGGCTAGAAATCTTTCACAGTTTTTGAAAACAACACAGTCCAGAAATTTGTCTAACAAAGTACTTAGTCAAGATATACTTTGTAAAACCCCAAAATGTCATTTTCTGAAGTTCCTTATATTGCCAGCACAACTGTCAGTGCTGAATGAGATCCAACGATCTTGCAGGAGATCAGCGATTGGACTGCTAATCACAAAACCAGCAAACTGAAATCCTGATCAGGCAAATAGATCAATGAGGGTTTTCTCACATAAGTCAAATTGACTATTGGGACCAAAGCTGAATAAAATAGCTCCCCAAGCAACACTGCTCTGATCCAAAAATTTATTTGGTTATTGGACACAGGCTGAAGAAAGAATTGGAAGATTGCAAAGATGATGATTGGGAAAGTATCTGTGAGACTCTTCGAGCAGAAATTGATATTCTGCAAATGGTATGCCATTTTCACTATGCATTTTAAGTGTTTGATAATTTTAGTTTTAAAAGTGTAATTTAAAATTATTAGCAGTGGATAACAATAGAAAAAGAAAAAATACTTTGAAGACCCATTTCTGGAAATGAAGGGGGTTTCAAGGTTCGTTTCAGAGCCCCTGGTTGAGCTGTATGAAGATGCAGCTGCCATTAGCATCAATAACAGAATAACAGTCATGGGAAACTTGTATTACTCACTCTCATGATCAGTTTCAAGTTTCTGCTGGAGGAATGTAACTTGTACTTTATCTGTTAGTTTTATTACGCTTGTCAAACTTTAGAAACAAAAAAAACAGTTCAATGTTTAAAAAACACTTTGTAAAGAACGCAGTGAACTCACTGATTTCATTTTCTGTAATTCAATTCTTTCTCTTTTCCAGAGCCTATCACAAAAAAAGTCTTCAGACAAGTGAATAATGTGTGGCACATGATATGGAGTGTCATAGAAGCTAGTCTTTTGAGTATTTTGAAACCATTTTAGTCAGGCTATAACAGGTTTGCTTCTATTTTTTTTTGTTTGGTTGGTTAAACCACAATTTGTATCTGCCTTTACTTTTCATTAAAATAAAGTTTTATTAATTTTAAAGTGGTGAGGCGTTTGTGTTCTGTTCTCAAGTTCAACAGCTATCCATCTTCAGTTTCCTCTTTGTTGCCCATGAATGGACAGTACACAGTCCACTACATATACAGCTGAGTTCCTGTATTGCCAGCTCTATTCTCTATGTACTAATTTTTAGAATGAAGGCTCTCTTATTTTTAAGGTAGTGATGTGGTCCTGTTTGAGAGGAAGACTGCTATTACTAAGACTGCTAAACAGCTCAACTCCAGCAAGGCTGCATGATAGTCCAGAAGAGTTTCCAAATCTACTGAGCAGTAGATACCTGCATTGATGGAAAACCAGTCCATTACTTAGCACTTGTTTTCTGATTACATGAGAAGTCAGCTTTTCTTCTTCTCCCACAACACACAAAATACTGAGTGCTGGCTTCTGCGCTTGACAGCAAAGATAAAACTGTATTCTAAACAAAAAGTCCACATTTGTAGAGAATGGGTGACGAATTTCTGTTGAATGAAGAACCATGTCCATTCAAGCATGTAGGACATATAACTGCTACAGCAGTTCCCAACCCCACAGTAGGAACTGACTTTTTGATTCAGGTGCTTGCAATAGAACCATGTGAAAACATTGACTGCTCAGCCGCAGTCTTCTCTGTGGTCATTGTCTCATCACATCCAACTGTGTGTGCAAATAATTTTCAATCTGCTTCCCACCTGGGGGTGGAATGGATAATTGCTCTTCTCTAGTTTTTCTACAGCCAGAGTTCTCCAAGCTACAGAGGGTGTCTGTCACATGAAACTGCAAAAGATGTTTTATTAAGAAGGGAGGAATAAATCCCTTTTGGAAGCTGACCAAATTCTGCCTGCAATGGAGAAAGTTTTTTTCCTCTTGGGACGCAGCTGCAGTTTGAAGTCTGGCAAGGTTTATCTGCAGCACTGGTATCAAAGCATGTTCTGATCCATTGGGTTAGCTAGGATAATTTCAAAAGGTTGGAATTATCATTCTTAATAACAAGTGCTGTTGGAGCTGACATCCTTACAAGGATTTTTTTGTCTCTTCCCTAAGAGAGATCCTCTCAGGATGTGCTTAATTTTGAACAACTTAGTCACTCTGACTTCTGTGGGACCATCTGACTCCTTTAAAGTTAGGCAGCCACTGGGTTTTGATCAAATCTGGGGCGTATTGCAAAATGATACTGTTGCATATCAGAGTGTCTACAGACAGCTAAAGTAGTGCTCTTTCTGAGTTTAATTGCTGGAAACAGATACAAATTTGGGATTTGTTAGGATGGCTGAGTTTATCCTGATAATTTTATTCATTTAAGGGAGCTTGCTTATGTTAAGTTTATTGGTTAATCATCCAGAAAAAACTTACTTTTAGACTTCAGATTTATCCACGTATAGTTGCTTTTAGTTACAAGAATTCTTGCATCTCTTTTGCAATGGTCTCATATGTATATAGTTGTTCAGTTCGTAGACATTAAATACTCGGATATGACATGAAACAGAACTCATTGCCTTATACCAGCATCCTACATTTACATTTCAGGTAAGTGGAATGAACAATAGCATCCAATAACTATCAATTAATAATATAAATTAATGTCTCTAAGTCACCTGAAAAAACATCTGGGGAAAAGAAATATGTTAAGCCTTTTTCAGTGATACTTCAGATTCTTGGAAACCAGTTGAAACTTCAGCCTTGGGGGGGAGGGTGTTCGTTTGTTGGAGGGTGTTTTGGTTTTAATAACTGTGAAGGTCTAAGTTCTTGATTATTGTAGTAGAATTACAGCATAAATATAGCAAAATTTGTAGTAACTCAAATGGCTGAAGCTCTCAGAATCAATATAGCAACAAAACAAGAATAAAGCTCACCAAAAAAAAAAGTGAAACAGAAATCAATACAAATCCTATTGGGCTAAACAAATCCCTCAACAGCTCTGAAAAAAATATGATGCCAGACTAAACCAGCTGTTGCAGGGTGAATGTAAAACATACTAATTTCTCAAAGTACAAAAATACATTTGTCACCACTGTATTATGAATAATGTAATTTGGAACAAATACAATATTTCTGCTTGGAAAACTCAAACTAAAAATTAAGCAAAAGTTTATGTTTTGTGGATTTTCTCTAAAATTCTCAAATCGGAGATGAGTAATCTTTTAAACAATGAGTGCAAAAGGACCAAATCTTTTGTCATGTTTAATAAATATGTTAAAGAACAGAACATTGCCAATTGCCATGAAAATACACACAAAGTTATTGCAACTAAAGAAATTATTTCACGGATAACATAAGATTTTTTTTTTTAAAAAAAGATAGATTATATATTGTATACCTTGCATATGAGTATGTAACAGAACCTCTGAGGCCAGAGGAAGAAGTTGTCAATTTTTATGACCAAAAAAAGAAGAATTAGAGCCATAGAAATATTTGAAACAGCTGGTGAGAAAGAGGAAGATAGCCCAAGAAAAAAGTTATTATTCTAGAAGGAAAAAATAGCATAGGGAAAACTAGCCATGCTTCTGTATTGGACATAGAAACAGATGGTTTTTTCGGATCAACAGATAAAAACTCCCTCATTTGTGAAGAGAGACAGAGAAATACTTTAGATTACTAAATTTACCTGGTAAAGATTGAGATTTGACAAGCATCAAGTCCTACATCCTTCACAAAAGACTTGATGAAGTGCAGGTTTATCTCAGGCTTACACAGGGACACCACAGTGCCTCTCCTCTGCTGTGACTACACACCCAAGACACAGATGAGCAGCCTGATTTTTTTATCATCAAATCACAGCTCCCAGCCATGCTTTGTAAAACACACTTCCCAGGAGCAGCCTAATGCAAACAGATTACTACAAGGGAGAATCAAGATCCATTTGAAAAAAGTCTGACAGGAAAATAATTAAGCCAGGCCATGGACCTGAGAAGGCTTGGGAAAAATCACTGAACTTTGAAGAAGAGTTTACCAGTCAGGGTGAGTAAGGTCTGACCACAGAGCTCCAAAACAGAAAGTCTGTTAAACCCTGAATCTATAAGATCATGGTTTTACAAAACAGCCTTCATGAGTTTGCAGGTAGAGCAAGGACAAGCCAAGGTCAGGAGCCAAAGGAAATGGGAGATATACTATGCTGAAGTCATGGTCAGAGTCCATGTTCAGGAGCAGAAAACCTGAGAAACTTAGTACCCAACAAGCCAGGAGACAGAACAACCACAGTGAAAATACAGCTTAACTGTGCAAGAAGCTCCCCCCATGACCTAATGTTACTTACCCAGGTATGTACCAATTCTTGAAGTAAGAGACAGCTACAACTGGGAGGAGAATCAGGAAACAAAACAAAAAAAAAAAATGCATTTTGTTTCTTATAAAAAGGAGTTAAGCTACCATAGTTTCATATTAGTTTCTTCATTGTTAACAGCCAATTCAAAGGCTACCAAGAAAACCACTACAATATCTGACCACAGAATAAAATTACAGTTAGCTAATGCAACAGTACCCGCACAAATTGTCTCTAATTAGTTCACATAAATATGACTGAATTGGTGATTGTGCCAAATTAATGTTATTAAATGAAGAACAACAATAAAAAAAAAAAAAGTACCTGTAACTGACTGACTCACTGAGGCAGTGAGAAAAAATTCCTATGTATGGCTCAGGGGGCAAAATATCAATTGATGTCACACATCCCTGTTCAGCTGATCTAGCTTACAGGGTCCTCTGTCACAGAGACAACTGACAATCTCCAGCTACAGGTTGCCTTTGTACAGCTTGACAGTTTGACAGTTGACAGTCTAGAAAAATTAAACCCCAAGGGAAAGGAATATTTGTTTTTAAAACCTGTGACTGAATTGCATGTATAGATCAAAAATGGATAGGAAAAGTAGCTACAAGACCAACCCCTGCCATGAGGGTGTAGCAGGCAACCTGAGAGCACAGATCCTACAAGAATGGTAACAGAAGAAGACCAGAAAGAGAAGACATGTTCCACCTGTCTCCCTGGTTAAGGATGCCATGCCTGATCAGCACCACTACCCATCCGTAGCTGATCTTCCCTGTGCTTCAACAGGATAAAGAGCACTGCTTTTGGATTTGCCATTCACTACATTTGTGATGCAGATTCAATCAAATGTGGGGTGCCATATATTACCATATAATGGGGGTTAAACGCGTTAGAATTTTGAACAGCTCTATGTGTTTATCTCTGTGTGCATACCTGTTTGGGTGCTTTCTGCTCTAATGGATACCACAGGATCAAGTCAGAGTAAATTTGTGTGAAACAATGGGTATCTATGTCCAGGGTCAAACCACCACAGTTGTCATGGTGGTCCAGAATTAAACTAATACAAAGTCAGCACACTAGCTCAGGTGTAGAGCAAGTCAACTGGCTTACCACAGTCATCTTCAATTCGACAGGAGTTCATAACATGAGAACAGATTTTATCACTAACTGAGCTGAAGTAAGAAATAAGACCTGTCCTGAAGCTTCTAGTAAGAGAAAGCACCTCCATGAAAAAGGTAACAGGTTTAGTGGATGCCCTGCACACCCCTTTCCGGGGACGACAGTGCAATAAACAGATACTTGGTAAAGAGGACTAGCAAAATAGTTCCAGTCCTCTGCTCTGAAATAAAATGTGATACTACAGTATGTTAACTGGTGTAGTGGTTTAACCCTGGCTAGATGCCAGGTGCCCACCAAAGCCAGTCTGTCGCTCTCCCCCTCCTCAACTGGGCAGGGGAGAGAAAAAAATAACAGGCTTATGGTGTCGAGATAAGGACAGGGAGATCACCCAACATTTACCATCACACGCAAAATAGACTCAACTTGGGAAAAATGTAATTTATTACCAGTTA